AAAAAAAAAAAAAAAAAAAAAAAAGAGAAGAAAAGAAAAATTGCAATGAGGTTGGGCACCGTTCTGGCAAAAAGACATGCATTTCAATTGGATTATGGTCAGTTAGCTCATTCAGGATCCTTTCTCCAGGGGTGTATCGGAACGACGTCTTGAGCAAGAGTGTCTCGACGGCACCTCTGAAACAATTTGTCAACTTATCAAGGAAAGCAGGATGAATGCCCTCCCTTCTCTGCAGTGCTGTATGAATAGAATAGCTAGCGAATAATAGCAGTAGATTCTATGGGTTCTCCGTCAAGCAGACTATGTTAACGTTCAATTGTACTGTTCCCGTGCTTTATAAACGACACAAAAGCTCCCCGTGCCATGCCAGAAACCAAGCATCCCCGGAAGCTCCCCAGATCTTCCATGCCTGAGAGGCCGCCTGTAGCTCACTTTCTGTTGCAATTCCATTCTTGAGTGCAGACTCCCGAAAGTTACTTTCCAGTAACCTCTCTGCCCACAGCGAGGACCACCATTCAACCTCAGCCTTCGTCGTGAAACACCAAGTGCCGACGCTTTGCACCATCTGCTGACCTTGGGGAAAGCCAGCTTGCCGCGCCCAAATGTGCAAGCGCCGACCAGAGTCTGGTGTGCCACCGTTGTTATGCATGACGCGTAGATATAGTTTGAGCCATTCCGTCATTCCTTCTGATTCAGGGAACCAGGCAAAACCACGGAAGTCTGTTGAGCGCACAGCGACGTATCCATGCGGCTTCGTGACACGGGCCATCTCTTGTAGAGCAAGGACTGGATCTCTCACATGCTGCAGGACTTGGTGAGCATGGGTTATGTCGAATGAGTTATCGTCAAATGGCAGCGCATGGGCCTGGATGCAATAACATTAGTTAAGTGTTTAATGGAAGGGGTCATGTTATAAGCGTAAAACGAACATCACCAATTTTGAATACTACATTCCGGATACCCCTCTCTTTTGCAGAAGAAGCAGCCTGCTGAAGAACTTCATGACCAGATGCAGGCTCCAGTCCAACTACTTTACCTTTTGGCACGTAGTTGGCCAGGTCCATGGTTATGGTTCCCGGCCCGCATCCAACATCCAGTATATGCATTGAGGGAGTTATATGGGGAAGGAGATAGGCTGCTGAGTTGGAAGCATTGCGCCAGGAGTGTGAGCGGAGGACTGAGGGCTGATAGCCATGGACATAGCCAGTAGAATCGGAAGCCATGAGACCGGCACCACCACATTGACTGATCAATGACTACTTCATCGGAAGGAGTAACATGAAAGGCATCTGGTGATGAAGGGAATTAATTATATATGGCATATTCAATGGGGGACACCGGCTACGCGGCATTGCTCATCCTAGGTGCACTTACTCCCGAAATTCGGAGTCAGGGTTGTGGGGCTGCTGACTGCATGCCAATAGACAGTTGCGGGGTATGCCAGCCAACGACCTCAATAGAGAGTATTGTGAAATGCTCGAACAAATCAGATATGCTTATAGCCGAACAAGTGCATGTAATGGTATACTTTTCCGAGTCTGGTGGGTATCGCCAAATCCAAATCCCCTCCCAAACCCCGTCGTAAGATCCTGCTTCATGCACCTCTGTCTGTTAACCTAAATTGACTTAAGGCATCAATAGTAACGCTGACGGCAATTTCAGTGTTTTGGCCCTCCCATGGGGAAAGGGTATAGCGAGACGTTGTATGTGTCTCGGTTATAATGCAATGTCCGCCTCGCAAGATATTATATCTATAATTCTGGCACATGACTAGAGCGCGCTTGTTGTGTTCAAGCCATTTTCTGAATGGTAAACCGGTCTCATGACTGTGGGAGGTAAGAGGGTCCACCATGAGTAAAGCGCCATCCGCCTTCGTCCGAACGAACTCCAGGCCGACGCCAGCGGCCAATGGCAGGCTAAGTAATCATTAACATCTAGGTCCATAGCACTGCAGGCTCTGGGCCTGAAGTTAGTTTCTGCATTTCCCTCCACAGAGATTGATTTGACGCCAACGCCCGAGACCGGACCCCATTCTTGTGGTGCCGTGGAGTTTAATTTCAGTCGCTCGTTTAAGGGACTGAATGGAATTGACTCGGATGGAAGCGTCGTCAAGTTACATGTATTCTTCCACTGGTCACTGGAGTCGAAATATCCACAATGCCCCGGTTCTAAACACTAGTCATTGGGATAAAAGACAGCTCGGCCAGGAACCCTTCCGCGCAAATACTGAGCATAGGATATATATGACTTCCCTGCCATTAGGACAGACTCTGACGTCGGCGACTGCTTATATACTTGTAAGGCTTTTAAAGGTTCCGTCAAGATGTTTCATGTTTAGATATTTATATCGAGAGGTACAAGTACGCGTCCAATGACAGTGATATCACCTCAATGTTTGATCGGATAGCTTTGTTAGAAGTGGCACGGCATAAATGGTGATCAGACAACGAAACATGCGATAGAGCCTTTTCGTACCTGGAGGCAACAAAGAATGCCCTGATGCTTGGGCCCAAGCAAGTCCTATATTTTAGTCTCGGAAGTTTCGGAAAGAACTGGTTACTTACTTTAGGTAATATAACTATAACATTACCTCTGTCCAACTGACAAGATCGGTTCGATTAACTTTATAAATGGCCTGACAAAATGACTAGTGCTCAATTGGCGCCACAAAACCCAGAGAATGTCTTGGTGACAAGCACACCACGAATTCAATTCTTGAAATCGGGCCACCTTAAGAACCATGGTTAACTATAGCCTTAGCTTTTGAACTGTCTGGAGGTAACCTCTACGTATCCTACTTCTTCAAATATATCTTAATTTGTTGTATCGACTTATCAAGTGGACTAATAAGGAGTAATTCTATATGCTGTGTCTTTTGTCAGGGGAACGGTATGCAATTTTGGCTCTGGCTTCGATATCACATTTTATAGAACCGGGGAAATGTAAAAGTCAATTGGTTATAAAAAGTCAATTGGTTATACAAGAGCTTTAATCTCAGATTCATTAAAATCTATGGTCTAGTCGCAGGCCATTCGGCCAACTCTCCTAGTGAAGATAAATGCATGTTAACTATATAAAATTATGATATAATTTCCTCAAAACAAGGCAGTCTAGATAAGTCACTACAGGCCAGAGGAGTTGGGCGAGAATGTCTATGGCATCAGTATATGTCAGAGTTACCGCTGACTGAGATATTCACGAATTCTAATTTAGCGATCCAGTAAGAATAGAGTATCCCCACAGCATAGCAGCAACGGTGTTATTTAACCAAATACTAACAGGGGCTCAATCATTGGCGATCAGTAGGCAGACTTCTTTATGGAGAAGAATCTTAGCCTTGACAGAGATACTCACCCGCGAGTGAGCTTGGCCATTTCGTTAAGGAGCCGCGAAAGGAAAGTATTCAAAAAAGAGGTGCCAGCAGTTGAAAAATACTTAAAAGATCAGAAACTTTTCTGGGTCTCGAATGGCTATGTTTGCTCAAGTTATGGGACAATGTGAGAGAACAACGTCCACAACTATGATAACGGTTCTCCAAGAAGAGCCGAAAAAATATTAAAAAAAGTTAGGTCGCTTAACTGGACCGGACTGTATTTGTACTAGAGGTAGAGGTACTTGTCAGAGAAATCAAAAGCGAATTCGGCTAGGGTTCAAAGAACGAACAGACCCTGTTCTCTGAGGTTCCTCCAGTGGGAATACCACCAGACCTCAGTCTTTTGAGACAATTGGTGACCTCATTTCCTTTTGCTCTGGGGCTAAATTTGGGGAGAACGATACAATATTCGCTTTTAGTAGCCATTCTGTGTTTAAACCTGAGGGGTCGACGGAGTAAAGTGTGGTGGTGACGGGACATTGAGTAAAGTCCGCCATGATACCTTTCCAGAGCTGGACAATAATGGGCAAAATATCAGTGATCAATATCTTAGAAGATGGACGGAAGTTGCTGCATTATATTATAAATACCGCGACCTGCACTATCGTCTCAGAGCTGCCTACATTTGTGGTTGAACGAACCCAGAAATCCTCCACAAAACGGTCGCTATGTGTTCTGGAACTGGGGAGAACATGATGAAGGAAAAGGAGAAGAGGGAGCGAGGAATGGCTCCCCTCCGCTACCACTGTGACCTAGGTGGGAGCGGGTAGCAATGACCAAAAAATCGTGGCTATTGCTTCAATCCAGAAAGAGTGGGTTGAATCAAGTTGAAGAAAGGATAAACAAAAGAAACCATGACACATGAAACCGAAACTAACGGCCGAAAGCGAAAAGCACCGAATCTCAGTGTAGCATGATTTGGATCTCATCTTCTTCCCCTGGCTTTGCTATCACCTGTATTTGTGGTCTTTTGAACCATAATTTCCGAATCTCGTTGACGTCCATACCAGATGTCTTCGAAACTGCGAATATTCCCGTCACCAACCACATCTCAGCCGCAGATTTGCTCCCAGAGTCCGCGACAAGCGTGTGCTGAACCGCAGGTATCAAAGTCCTTTGCCGGATTAGATTAGTATTTGCATCCGCTCGCAGCAGCAATGGGCTTTTGCTTGCGACCCTGTCATCTGCTACCAAATCCGTTTGTAAATCAACAACACCACTAGCGCTACCATCCGAAAGGATCAAGCAGCTATGGTCGTCTTTCCCCCAAGCTTCTACCACGGCGGCATCCTGATCCAACAGCATCCTCAAATTGCTCTCTGTACATAACAGGCCTGTTCTTGCTACACCAGAAGCCGCAAAGCCTGCGTCAACTAATCTGATAGGGCCAGGCTCGATGGCCGCCGGTGACCACTTCACCTTGTGTATACGGAAGTGCCATCCTGACCACAGCTCCAAGGCGGGAATTAGGGTAGTTTGGACTTCAAATTCATTTGCCTTCTTGGGTCTCCAGGTACTAACAAGAGCAGGCACTGTTCTCACTCCCCTGCCCATCCCAGCAGCCGCGTCAGAAGTGAGGATTGGGATCTGCCGGCCTCGTACATTGAATGGATTTGCGCGCACTATCCATACCTCACCGTCATCGAGACTGACTGTCAGCGTGCTGTCCGGAGCCATCTGCTCTAGCAGGACGCCACTAGGGACGCTGAACCCAAAGAAGGACGAGTATGCCATCTTACCGTACTTTGCCTCTCTGGCACGGTGCGGCTTTGTGGTTCCTTGTCCTGAGGAGAGCAGAAAGTGGTGGCTGCGTCCGCCGCATAGAATATGTCGGGGCGGCCAGAGGAGTTTGACTTCGTCGAGTAGCGGCTGTGTGAGCAAGGCAGGGACCGTGAGTGGGTGCGGTAATTCTTCTGCTATCCAGAAGGGGTGGCTCTCAGATAGACAAAGAATAGTGAACGATTTCAGACACCAGTATACAGATTGCGGTGAGTTGTAGTTCTCGCTGAGGAACATGTTTGGATAGGCATACCCGATATTGATGGTACCGTCAGTGTTGAAGATACCAGGCTGCTTTCCCCACCAGCGTAGATGGCGGAGGAGGAGACCCTTGATCACGCCGATGTTGTTGAGCGGTTCGTCGAGCTGTACACCGGCTATGGCGACTGCGGACCAGAATGCCGCGAACGCGAACCGGTACGTTAGGCTCCGCCCAAACGGGATGGCACTTCCTAGGAGCCAGAAAGTGAGTACTAGCTTCTAGAATTATACGTCTCGGATCGAAATGTTGAGATCGGAGGGCAGGGATGTTGACATTGGCGAGATCAGAGTGTTTTATAGGCTTACATACCATCCACATCAAAATATCTCCAGAACCCTGACGCAAACTGTCGCGCCTCCTGCTTATACCTCTCAACTCTGCTACGATCATCGGGAGCCAAGTCCCTATCCTCCATGAACCTCACATATAGCATCTGTGCAAACTGGATTGCGAAGCTTCCCGAGTAATAATCGGCCTGTTTCCTCTCGTTTCCCCAGAGCCCGTCGCTACTCCATCCCTCCCCAAGATCGAAGGAGTCCAGCATCTTTAAATCTTGGGCCACAACAGCCTCTTCCTGGGATCCCAGCACCAGATTGACCAGCACACGAAACCAGCGCCAATTGTTCTGGGGCATTTGCCGTCCATTGATTTGGCGCAGCCACGTTTCTAGGTTTTCCCGGGCCACCGCGTCCATCCCAGATAGGAATACTGCAGGGGCCATCAGCAGCGCATACGCGATACTCTCCATTTCCACCATGCGCTGATCGAAGTCACCCAGATCACCCCAATACTCCGAGGATGCCGGGTTGGTACCAGCTTGTAAACCACACGCCCATGAGTCGACATCAAGGCCAAGGCTATCTGTACCACTTCCAGCAGCGAGGAGGCTTGCGATGGCCCACAATGGCCGTGCAAAGCCCTCTAGTTTGGCGGAGACCTCATCAAACCCTGCCGCAGTGTCTGTGGACAGTTTGATAAAGGCCTTTTGGGGAGACTTGTGCTGTGCCAGTGGATTTAGCAAAGCGGTGCTAGCGCGGACGAGGTCAGAGCGGGTCCGGAATGGATTGTCCGTGAAGCCTGGGAGTGCGGGCATGGTTGGAGTTTTGCCTTGTCTGCCAAGTGCGGGCCTAGATTGGGAGTGGCATATCCGTAGGGGTATTAGAGATTCCAAGGCAGGTGGGATCTCCAGGCACTTATAACCCATTTCGTGCCAAGACTGCCGTCGGTCTTCGGGCTAATGTACGGATTTCGGGTGATTGTATGATTCATGTTCAAACTATCAATTTATGCGGATCAAAAACAACTACAGCACACGACGCAACAGCAGTCCAAGAATTGATGAATGTTGA